CGGGGGAAAGGGGCGGCACCGCGGGCTCCGCCCCGCCCACTCCTGCCGCCTGTGCCCTCCTCCCGCCGGCTGGGGGCGGGGCGAGACCCGCCCGCCCCCGCCCGGCAGGGCCCGGCTCGGCTGTCAGTCTGGCGGCGGCGCGCGTCGATTGGGCCGGCGGCCGCCGGGGAGCGGGGGCAGCACGTTGGGATGCGCGCTACTTAAGGTCCAGCTGCGTGAGCCATTGACGTGTTTGGAGCTGGAGACGGCCTGGGCGCTGGCGAAGCGGCGGCCCGAGGTGAGTGGTCCCCCGCCCCTCCTTCCGCGGCGGCTGCAGGGATGCAAGAAGAGAGGGGTGCACCTGGGCCACCGCGGGGCCCGAATCCACTCCTTCGGTGTGAAGCCCCTACCACCAGGCCTTGCCTCAGCGCGGGCCCCTTCCTGTCCTTCTTTCTCCCCACGATTCGGGTTTATCCGGGCTGGGGACGAGGAAGGTGACCCTCGGCCTGCCTGGGCACCCCTAGCTCTTTCTTCACTCGGTTTCTCGGCCTTTGGGGCGTCATTGCCTACCCCCACGTCCAATTTCCTGCCTTTTCCTTTCCCCCTGCCCCACTCGGCTCCATCCAAGGTCAAAGCAAGGTGTGTTCACCTGTGCCCGTCGTCCACCGTTAAACCGACAGGCAGCATCGCGGAAGGCAGCGAGGCCGCGGACTCGCAGCCAGTTTCTCCATTCGACTTCCCCGCTCCGCCCCGCTATGCCATGCTGACTTCCTGACCCTGCCTTTCTGCACCCAGCAGTGGGTTAAGGGCTTTGGGCTCTGGCATAACGTGTTTCAGCTTCCTGCTAGTTGCATCTGCGTTGTATCAGACCCACAGACCTTGCCTGGGCTCTGACCAGCATGTGGGCATGGACGTGTTCCCTATCGTTCCCTTTCCCTTGCCTTTCAAAGCTAGTTGGAGAGTGGGGATGTGAACTGGATGGGAAATCAAGACATATATATATATATATATATATATATTTACAGTTTGCCTTTTGGAGAGATTTTTAGAGTTATTCCTCCAATGTGCTGTGCTTTTGTGACCCCTCCCTCAAATCTTTGGTTTTCTTTCTGTCTGTCCTCTGCAAGAAGAACTTGCTTTGTAATATTTGCTTCGTGCCTTCAGAAAGTAAGCAGATAAGCCCTCTCTAGCGGAACACTCGATCTTCCCTTTAGCCCTTTTCCTCACTGTAAATTGACATTTCCTCTTCATTTCCAGTGATACTTGAGGATTCATGCAAAGAAAGTGACATTTAGAAATCCAAACTTACTTTGACTTGTATTTAGAATCCGGAAGAGAAAGGAAATGAAATGTGAATAACTTCATGCTGCAAACCTGATTTTGTGTATATGTGATGTTACCCAGGTGTTATTTTTATCAAAGAATTCTTGATTGGTGATGATTTTAAAATGCAGTGCAAGTGCAGTTTCATGTAAGGCATGCAACCTGAATTTTGCCCCAAGCTGATCGTTGTTGAGATGATATATAAGGAGTATGAACAGCTAAGCAGAGTTCTGTATTCTCACGTCATAGGATGGATGTTAAAAAAAAGAAGGATGTGAGTTTATTTAGTATCGTTATCTCTTCGTAAGAAGTCAAGCCTGCAAAAGAATCATATTCAGGAGAGGAAGAAGCTTCTAGATACAATTGAACAGCATCTTGAAATTCCTTTTTACCTAGATGTTTCTGTTAGTTAAGGTATATTCATGTATTGTTTTTAAGTTTAATTTGAGAGAGAGAGAGAATGCGTGTGAACAGGGGAGGGGCAGAGAGAGAGGGAGAGAGAACGTCCCAAGCCGGCTTTGCACCATCAGCATGGAGGCCAGTGCGGGGCTCAGTCTCACGAACCTGTGAGATCAAGACCTGAGCCGAAATCAAGAGTCAGATGCTTAACCGGCTGAGCCACCCAGGCACCCCTAAGTATATTCATGTATTGATCAATGAAAATCATAAAATGAAATAATTTCTTAGAGGATTCCTAAAATCTAAAGGATCCTGGAATAACTAAACTCTTTTCCACCCTTCTTTGTAAAGATTAATCTCCTTTAGCCTGGACATCCTGGTCTCTGAACTAGGTAACCCTTGACTGCAAATGCCTCCATTTTTTAGGAACTTCCGGGGTTTGATTGATTTTCCTGAGTGTCCCTTATTTCTTTTAACATGACAGATATTTTTTTGATGGTGTCGTCCAGAGCCAGAAAAGTAGAAACCCTTTCATACAAAATTTCTGACCTTTGGTCAAATTGACTGATGGCGGTTCTTTGCTGGGCGGTGTTTTGTATGTCATAGTGCATCGTTGCTTGTTTCTCCTTAAATCTTTAGGTGGAAGATGATTAAGCTAGAGCAGGATTCAAGAGCAGATTAACTCAGCTTCTTAAACTTAGTGCAGAACATTTAAAAATATTTGTGGGTGGCTCATCAATAGAGTATCGATGTATTAAAACAAAAAAAGCCACTTTGAAATAATTAACAGTGTGTTGACTGTTGTTAGTTTTTTTTCAACATTTTCTCTTTTAGTTCCTTTCTATGACATGTCTTCGAAGATGATAGACATACCAATTTGGGTTGAACTCCATTAGAGAGAGCAGTTGTCCCAGAGTATAGATGACATGCCTATTATGGAAGTACTCTGTGACTTGATAGAATCATCATCGGTTGGCTCTTAGGGAACTGTGATCAATCTTTAATCGATAAAGACTTGTGCAGAGCTGTATGTGTAAGGCTTGAGTCGGAAGATTAATGAACCACGGTAACATTCTGTGACTTCCTTTAAACCAAGGGAAGTATCTGTTAAATAGAAGACGCCCCTGGAAGTAAAGCTTTAGTTTTTCTTTTTTAACTTTTCGAAATGTCAGCTGAGCCGTCACTTTGTTCTTTTGGTATGTTGGCCAATCTTGGTGCTGGTTACAGAGTACATACTCTGAGTTTAGTTAACAAATGTTTTTGCTAAAGTTGGGTTGTCTTAATGACTCCACACTCATTTTATATGCTGATCGATGTACAATAAGGAAGTAATTGTTAGAATGCACGCTGTATTCTCAGGTTTTGTTAGGACATTTCACAGCTTCACGTTTGGAAATAAAGATAAACTAAAACTGAATTATAGCTGAACTGTCCTCTTGGGCATTATGATCAACTTGCAGCGGGCGAATTTAGATATGGCCCTTGTGCTGAGGCACCATGGCAGTGCAAAGGAAAAACACGTCCAAATGTTTATTCTCAGAATACAGAGGCCATATGAAGTTCCTTACTCGATAATCATTACGCCAAAATTAATTTTTCAAGTACCCGTGGGTCCAATGAGATGTATTGATTTATTTTTCTCTCGTTTGCCATGTAACTCTTTTCTCCAACGTCTGCCTGCAGTCAGAAACCCGTGAGGATGCCTATGGCAGCACGGCGGCTGAGAGATCCAGACATAAACCCTTGCTTGTCGGTAAGGTGGTTTGCTTTTAATTTTCATGAGGTTAAGTTGGAAAAACAGGCTTGTTCTGCTTTTGTGGGTATCTGTTTTCTGCGGTTCTTGAATAAAGTTATTTCAATACAAAAAAGATTCCTGGCCAGCGTATCCTTATTTCACTAGAACATTTTTAGGTGTTCATAATTTAGCTGACAAAGATTCACCTCTTCTGAGTTTACCGTTGCTTGTATAACGTGCAAGCATTTAGCTGTCGCTGAAACTCCAGACAGGCATAGGTTAACAGCAAGGAAAATCTTTGGTCCAGAAATGGAAAGTTGCAAACTATGTTTTTAAACTGCCACTGAAATTTATGTTTTAATAGCAATAATTTCATCATGTCCGTGAGACAGCCTGGCTGAGAATAAGGGCCTATAATAGAATGTGCCCATTTAAAGCCTAAAGATTTCCACAAAGGTTACCATATAAGCAAAACGTTTTGTTGTAATAATAAGGTTTTATTCGCATGTATGTGGTGTGACCAGCAATACTGACTTGTGGCTTTGTTACCCTGGGATAATGCAGTCTCCTATGACTGGTGCTATTCCCTGATCCTATATACATTTTTCAAATATACACACTCGTTAAATATTTGGCGTAGAAATTTAGCTTTGCTTCGTGTATCAAATCTGTTTTCAACAGCTTTATTCAGTCTGTCTAGATAGACTGTGTTTCTTAGAGCTGTGCAGCAAATTACCTACCCCTTTAGTTAACGCTTTCCTTTCGATGACCTCTCAGAATCCTACTTTTCACTTTGAAGTTTGTTATCCAATCTACTTCCGGTTTAGACAGCTTAATTTTAATTCCCAAATGACTGCTACTCTCCTTTGAACTCACAGCCCTGTGTTGCTCATGTAGGTTTTGAAGTGATATTAATGATATCTATTAAAACGGCATACATAATAGTATATGTACTTGCGTAATGCAGTGAGCGATAGCCAAAAATACATCGAGATGAGTGGTGGTAATTTAAGTTGCCTTGATGTAGACCAGTTATTAGCGACTTACTTGGGCTCTCGAAACCAGCTTAACGTCAAACAGCCAAGTCAAAGCTGGAAAACAGGACAGCTGCACTTGGAACTGGGAGACTGGGTTTTGACTCTATGCTGCGCAGTAGTGATTTCGAGCACATTGCACCTTGCCTTAGCTTCTTTGTTAAACACTCACTGGGGTAAATGATCTCAGTCAGTGCTCCGGCTCAAGTTCCTGTGATCAGATATTCAGAAAACTGACCCAGACTATGAAAAGGAAGATGTCTGCTCTGAGCAGAATGAGTACTGGGATAGTCGGAAAGATAATTCAGTGTTTGTTCATGACGCGTTCGTTAAAATGAACAGAAAGGAACGAGTTCATGTTACCTGCTTTGGGGGAAAGGAGCCTCAGAAGTTTGGGATTTTTTTTTTTTTTTTTTTTTTTAGATCCCATTCCACCCCTAAATGATGCCTATCTTACATATTTAAGGAATCTGATGCTTCTACCAGATGTATGGATGAAAATAACTATGACAGGGAAAAGTGTTCCACTTACTTCCTGAAGTACAAAAACTGCCGGAAATTCTGGGTAAGCTGAGCTCGGTTAGCTTTGTGTTAAAACTCCTCTCTAAGGCGTGAAATTGAAGCCCAAACTTAGTCAGTACCCACAGTCTTTTCTTAGTGATGACTGGGGAAACTTAACTTTGGCTGTATCCTGTGTGCACCCTAAAGGATCCTTGAGAGCTCTTAACTGGCCACCTCCTCCTCCTCCTACTCCATCCAGGCAATAACAACGCAGTTCTGACTTAGGTGGGTCTTCCTATGCATGTAAGATCTGCAGCCCTAAAACAATAAGCTTGTTACAATTTCACTTTTCCTGGAGAGGAGCAGACTGGATAACTTGTTCTGTCGTAACACAGACTTCAGCTGCCACACTGTCCCCCGGGGTGAGCAGCCGTGGCTGGGACAATGGTGACACCCGCAGCGAGCACAGCCATAGTGAGTCGGGCACCACTGGCTCATCCTTTGAGGAGCTGGAGCTGGAAGGCGAGGGACCCCTGGGATTGCCAAGGCTGAGCCCCGAGGCTGAACCCCTAGGGACTGTCAAGTGGCCCCGGAAACCTAGTACCGCCCGAGAAGGGTGAGGAGGTAACCCTAGGCTCACACCCTCCTGGGGTGCAATCGCTAAGGAACTGAACAGACTCTCCAGCCCTCTTCCTTGACCTCTCTGGCCCAGGCTGGGGCCTGGGCCTCAGGGGGAACTGACTTCCACTAACCCTGGGCTCTAGCTGAGCCTTCTTACCACACCTGTGGCTTCCAGGGCCAATGGAGCCAGGGACTGTATTCTGCACCCAGACCCTGGGGCTACCGCCCCTCTGACATCTTTTTTCAGAATCACATTGGAGCTTCCAGGACCAGAATAAAGCAAATGATTTTCTTGTTTCACCGGGGGGTGGGGTGGGGGGGTAAGGCTTCCATTTCTGCCTTCTCCTTTCCCACCACCACCCATGGTAGTTAAAATGCCCCCCTTTTTCTTGAGACATCAGTATATGATTTCTTTTTCTCTGAGCCCTGGATCCAGCTACTTCCTTTCCCTCTTTTGAATTAACTGTTGGTTTCATTTAGCAATCACTTAGTAGGTCCTCTTGATGGACTGGATTCCTGTGCTCTCATGTCAATGGATTCCTATGAGAATAATCACTTCTATTTAATTGTTAATAGCTTGAAAATATTGTCCGAAGAATGAGAGTTAGTTTTTTGGTTTTTCTTTACACTTGGTTTTTAGAATTTCCCTTATGAGGACGTAATAACCAATTACTGGCAAATGATTAGCATTTAATATGTGTCTGATTTTGGTTTCTTCTTCTTCTCCTTCCTTTTTTTTTTTTTTTTTAACCTACGTGCAGAATTCTGTCATGATCCAGAGAAGACAGAACGGAGTGCAGCCGTCTATGCCTACAGCAGCAGAAAGAGACGAGATCTTGGGGGCGATGGGAAAGATGCCCTACTGACTGTTTGCATTAAAATTGTTTATTTAACTTAGAAGCAGATGAATATTTTTAATAAACGGTGACTGTGACCTTTGAACACCTTTCGGGCCTTACGCACACAGATCTCCAACTCTACGAGGGCAGACAAAGTTAAGTTAGCCCCGTGTCCTCTGTGTTTGTGCTCAGTGCCATGATGGTGGTCCGCCGTGGCTGGCTGTGCCGTGCCGCGGAGTTCGCGTTACTTCCTGAAGGTAAGGGAGCATTAGGAAAGGTGACATGAGTAGTCCCGCTTTTCTGCGGGTAACCGGCACAGAGGACAAGGAAAGACTTCGCGGCAGCGCAAGGAAGGTGGTGTTTCCAAGGATGGGAAATGACGTGCACGGCAACGCGATGGGAGGAAAGCTCGAGCTGGGTCTGGAGAGTGGTCTGTAGACTGTACCACCAAGAGTACGAGGTGGCGGTGGAGAGGCGGACAGAAGCCTGGGAAGGTGAGTTCAGGGTGGCTGGGTGGCGGGCCTCAAATCGCGGGCTCAGTGCAAAGCAAGACCCCGACCCTCGCTTCACTCCCTTACCTCTGTTTAAATAAGCTTATGGGGCGCCTGGGTGGCGCAGTCGGTTAAGCGTCCGACTTCAGCCAGGTCACGATCTCGCGGGGTCCGTGAGTTCGAGCCCCGCGTCGGGCTCTGGGCTGATGGCTCAGAGCCTGGAGCCTGTTTCCAATTCTGTGTCTCCCTCTCTCTCTGCCCCTCCCCCGTTCATGCTCTGTCTCTCTCTGTCCCAAAAATAAATGAACGTTGAAAAAAAAAAAATTAAAAATAAATAAATAAATAAATAAGGTTAGTATGTTGACTAGGCGGGGAAGCAGGGGTGCGCGGGGGTTGTCTTAGACAAATGGCAGGCCCAAGAACTGGTTTTCTTTTCTTTCCGTAAGGGGAGGCTTCAAGGATTCCGTGACTGAAATCCACACATATTGGATAACCTTCTGAAGGGATAGTATTCTTGAAGCGCAGTCATGGGAAAAAGATGATTCTCTCCGAAGTGGGACTTCTCTTTGCAGGAAGAGACGGGTAGGAAGGATACAGGGGTTCATAGGTGAACGCACTGGGATGAGACTAGAGCCCCACTGCGTTTTCTGCCGTAAACACAACAGCATTCAGTATGGTGATGGGGGCAAGTCGTGTGGCAACTCTCATACCCACCAGCTATTTAAATCCAGTTTGTCTCATTTACAGAACAGTTTTATAACATATATTATTTAATAATATCTAATGTATACAAAAAAATCAATGAAAACAGCTTGTGTCCCTTCTCTTTATCTGGCGCTGGGTCAAGAGTATTATTTTAAAGGCTGCTGACCATAAACTATCCGTCTCGTTGGTCTTTGTCCAAAACCCAGGTCAGATGTTTTTAGGCCATCTGACCCTGATTGTTAAATGTGATTCTGTTTGAATAAAAGATGGACTGTTTGAGAAATCCCTTGATTTGTATTGATTGCTCTAAAAATGATGGGTTGAAAAAGGACCTGACAAGACATTCATACATACTTGTGTGATCAGCATTTCAGTATTTTAAGCATGCTGTTTTAAGGGCTTGGAATGTTAATGTCCCCTCTTTAAATGTACATACCAACATCAACATTCATCCGGGAGCTGTTTGTCCCGGCCTCACTCTTTTTCTTTTCGTTTCTTCTTTAAATAGCAACTTTGTTGAGATACAGTTCATATACCGCAGAAGTCATCTGTTTACAGTGGAACTCTGATGGTTTTCAGTCATCACCACAATTAGTAGTAAATCACTTCAGCCCGGAAAGAACACATTCTTCATTTCCTCCTCACACCTCCCTTTCTCCCCACCTTGCCGACCCTTAGGCAACGGCCTTCTGCCTCTAGAATTGCCTATTCCGGTCATTTATATAAGTGGAGCCCTGCCATGTGTGGTCTTTTGCGACTGGCCTCTTTCCCTTAGCCCAGTGTCTTCAAGGCTCCTTCACACAGCACGTATCAGCACCTCGGTCCTTTTCATTGCTGGATAACATTCCATGGTATGGATGCACCACGTTTTTTGTGATCCATTCATCAGTTGATGGGTATTTGGGTTGTCTCCATTTTGGGGCTATGATGAGTCCTGCTGTTTGTTGAACAGTGGGGTACAGGTCTTGGTGTGGGCATTCATTTCTCTTTGGATGTACACCTGCCCTGGAGGTGAATGGCTAGGTCGTACACTAACTGTGTTTAACCATCTGAAGAACTGACCAACTCTCTTCCAAAGTGGTATCACCATTTTTACAATGTACGAGAGTTCCAGTTTCTCCACATCCTTGTTAACACTTATTATCCGCCTTTGGTTACAGTCATCCTAGCGCGTGCGAGCTGGTATCAGTGTGGTTTGGGTTTGCATTTCCCCGAAGGCTAGTGATGTGGAGCATCTTTTTATGTGCTTATTGGCCGGTCACGTATCTTCTTCGGAGAAATGTTCATTTAGATCCTTTGCCTATTTTTAAGTTGGGTGGTGTATCTTTATTACTGAATCGTGAGAGTTCTTTATAGGTGCTAAATCCAAGTCCCTTATCAGATACATGGTTTGCACATGTTTTCTCTGATACTGTGGGTTGTATTTTTGCTTCATGATGTCCTTTGAAACAAAATTTAAAAAGATTTTTTTTTCCTAATGTTTGTTTATTTTTGAGAGAGAGAGAGCAAGGAGGGGAGGGACAGAGAGAGAGGGAGACACAGAATGCGAAGCAGGCTCCAGGCTCCAAGCTGTTAGCACAGAGCCCGACGCGGGGCTCAGACTCATAAACCGCCAGATCACGACCTGAGCCGAAGTCGGCTGCTTCACGAACTGAGCCACGCAGGCACTCCTGAAACCCAAAACTTTTAATTTTGATGAAGTCCAATTTAGTTTTTCTTTTGTTGCTTTTGGTGACATATCTAAGAAGGCGTTGCCTAACTCAAGGTCAAAGGAATTTGCATCTGTGTTTCCTCTAGGAGTGTTATAATTTTGCCTCTTATGTTTAGGTCTCTGATCCCTTTTGAGTTCATTTTTGTAGGTGGTGTGAGGTAGGAGTCCACAACTTCATTGTTTTGCATGTCGCTGTCCAGGTCCCAGGACCTTTTATTGTAAACGCTGTGCTTTCTCCTGTTGAATTGTCTTGGCACTCTTACTGCAAATCGATTGTGTATGTCAGTCTATTTCTGGACTTGGAATCCTGTGCCATTGACCTGTATGTCTGTCTTTAGCCACACTGTCTTGATGACTATAGCTGTGCAGGAATGGCATAGTTCTTTGAGCGTGTATCTGAGCGTGTTCTATGAGGTACCATTGGTGACAAACCAATTGGGGACTTTTGACCAACAAATCCTTAATGTACGTAATCATAATATGGCTCCGCTTAGGCAAGGTTGTTCGGTTCTAAGTTTGCCTTTAGTAATTCCCTAATCCCTTGTTTGCGTCTTTACACATACCCTGATAACTTCAGTATACTCTTCTTGGAACCAGATTGTGCAAGAACCTGTTGCACCACTTTGGAGGGGCAGAGTCCCAGGGGTTCATCACCCAGCTGTTACATTTGCCACTATTGTATTTCTCTTTCTCGAAGACACTACTCCAGGAGAAGCGAAGCTGATTAACTTGAGAAATCAATTGTATGGGGCTGTTTGTTGGTGTCTGGAGAAAATTTTCAAGTCAGACAAAGCTTTGATGTCAACTATCAACTAACAAAATATGTAGAAGGCGTTTTACTGTGTTCACGTGCCTCTCACCCTTGAGGGGGGGGGGCGCATCTCATTGTAGATTATCCGTGTAATGGGTGAGCGTGGCACACTGTGTGTATAGTATGTAAAAGAAATCCTCTTAAGAAGCACTTCCTACTTGAAAGCTCTTGGAGGATACAAGCAAGGTCATTCATGGTTATATATCCATAGTACCTGGTAAACTTCTAGTGTGTCTCAATGATCAACAGTTGTGTACCTGTTGGGAGGGGTGGTTTTTGAAGTCGAACACATTGAAAAAACGTGCTCGGACCATGCAAATGGGTACACGATATTCAAAGGTCCACACAATGCAAAAGGCATTACAGTGTAAATCTGCCCAGAAGCAGCCGACGTCAAAAAGTTTTCAAATTTTTTATTGCTGATACAGGCATATCTGTGTATGTGTTTGTTTTGCACAAAAGAAGCATCATAGGGCGGAAGCTGGAGGTACCTTGCTTTTTCCACTTAGTTATATAGTTTGGAATAATTCTCCACCAGTGATTATAGATCTGCTCCAGTTCTTTTTTCTTTTTTTCCATGTTTATTTATTTTTGAGAGAGAGACAGAGTACGGGCAGGGGAGGGGCAGAGAGAGAGGGAGACACAGCATCTGAAGCAGGTTCCAGGCTCCCAATGAGGGGCTCGAACTCACAAACTGAGATCGTGGCCTGAGCCGAAGTCGGATGCCTAACCGACTGAGCCACCCAGGCCCCTACTCCATTTCTTCCAATGGCTACAGTTTTCCCTTGTGTAGTTACAGTGTCATTGAACCAGTCTCCCACTGATGGTTTTCTCTTAGAGACAGGGTTGCAACAAACATCTTTACATACGGCTCTTGGCTTGTTCTGTTCGAACTCTAGAATGCATTTCTAAGAAGAAGTAGTTCTAGGTTAAAGGCTTCTGCATTTTAAATATTGTAGGTATTGACAAATCACCCTCCCTGGGGGAGCAGCCCAGTTTCTACTCCCATGAACAAAGCCTGTGAGTGTTTCTTTCCTCACACCCTCAGTCCCACCGAGTGCTTTACAGCCCTTTCATGCTTACAATTGATGAGTGAAAAATGGAATGGAATGAGTGTATTTATTTCCTTTGCCCACTTTTGTTTTTTTTGTTTTTTTTTGTTTTTTTTAGATATTTGGTGTGAATGATTTGGGGGCCTCTTGGGATAGTGAGGAATCTGCCTCTCTGCCATTTGTAACTTGTATATTTTGTCTTTTAACTTAGGATTGGATACCGTGTTTTACATTTTAATGTAATTAAATGGATCCATCTTTTTGTTTATGGTTTCTGGTGCTCAATAAATATTAAATGAATCCAAGTACAAGTACTGTTATTACAGTTCAATTCTGCTCAACAAATATTTGCCTATAATGTACAAAGTGCTAGGGCTAAAGGGGGTGGAGGAACATGCATGAATAAGTCAACCATCTGGCCCTCAAAGAACTTCACTGGGCTGTGCGGGAGAAGGAAAGGAGAACCACAGTAGGAATAAGAGGGTAAGTTCCTTAATAAACACACAGGGGCACGTGCATGTGGGGTATTCGGGGATTAGTCCTTACTGACTGAGGCCAGAGCATGTGAAGGGAAAAACCTAGACGGGTAGAGTAGGGACCCATGAGGGGCCTCGAAGGCCCTACTTGAGACTTTAAACCTTATTCTGTACATAAAGGGAAGCTACGAACTGTGTTGAGTTGGACAGGGTCAAATCCAGTTTGCGTTTAGAAGAATAATTCTGGAGGTGCGGAGACGGGGTCTTACAATGATGCTGGATCACCGCAACCCCCCTCTCAACTGTTTTCCTCCGTAAATTCCTGCCTGACTCCCAGTTCCTTTTCCACACGGCAGCCAGGAGAGCCTTTCCAGAATGCAAAGACAGTAAGTCCCACTTCAATTTCCAAGTCCTGTCCATTGCCGCACGATAAATGTCCAGATTCCTTCCTTTGGTTTACAAGGTCCTCTGAGATCTGGGCACGTTTGTGAAGGGTGCTTGCAGGCTTGAGGAAGGTGGGAGCAAGTCTGCTTTTGGACATACAAGGCCAAGACTGTATCCTCAAAGACCTTAGACTTCAGTGAGGGAGACAGGCAGGAAAAGGTCTGGCCGTATCCTTTCCGCTGTCACATTCTACATTGGCCGACCACGCCCCATTTTCTCAACCTGAACAGCCGTCCCTCAAGGGCTGCAGTTGAATGCTGCCTTCAGGTTCAGCTCGCATGTGTCGTCTCCACTACCGCCAGTCAGAATTAATGTCATCTCTTCATCCTCCTCCCATCTCTGCAGTGACACTCACCGCGTATTCCCCGGGGAGCTGCGTACACGATCCGATGTAAAATGAGGCAATTAAAGTTGCCCACACGTTCTATTAATGTCTCACCTTCTGTTTTTATTTTGCAGAATAAGAAAATGAGAACCGGCGCTCGGCGTCAAATGCTTTATTCTGCAAAGGAGCTAAAAAGAGGTGGGCTTGGGGCACCTCTGGCTGGCTCAGGTCATGATCTCATGGTTTGTGGGTCCAAGCCCCGCGTCGGGCTCTGTGCTGACAGCTCAAGGGCCCGGAGCCGGCTTCCGATTCTGCGTCTCCCTCTCTCTCTGCCCCTCCCCCACTCGCACTCTGTCTCTCTCTCTCTCTCTCTCTCTCTCTCAAAAATGAACATTAAAAAAGATTGAAAAAGAGGTGGGCTCGATCTGCCTTTCAGCTAAAAACACTGGACCGTTTTCATTGGC